TCCCATTTCCTCGATCCCTACCAGCTACCGAAACCACGAGAAAAAGAAGATATAGATGACCTGACTGACACGAGCTAAAACCAAAAAAAAATCACAGCCTCAACTTCCCCTGGGCCAACCGCTGCATCTCGCTGGACCTGTGGTGGAACCACGCGGTCGAGCAGCAGGCCTTCGGCCGCATCTTCCGCATCGGCCAGCTCAAGGAGACGTACATGACGCGCATCGTCGTCAAGAACAGCGTCGACATGCGCATGCTGTCGATGCAGCTGCACAAGCTGCGGAACCTGGAGCGGGCGATGCGCGACGGCGAGAGCAAGGAGACGCCGAACCTGAGTATGAAGCAGCTGTCGAACCTGTTCGGCTTCTTGAAGACGGATGGGGACGGCCAGATTGTGAGCGTCGAGGCGGATTATGAAGATGGGGAGGAGGGGGAGGGGGAGAGAGAGGGCGGCGGCGGCGGTTCGTATGGAGGCAGTGGTGGAAGTCGGAATGCTGGTGCTCGTGATGTTGGGGCGGATGGGGATGGGGATGGCGCTGGCGCTGGCGGGATGAGCAGCGACAACGGTGCGCGCAAGGGGGCCTCGTGGGGAGGTGAGAACTGGGGGAATACCGGTGGTAGTAATCCGGAGGTATTGGTCTTCCCTTTCCTTTCCTTTCGTTTCTTTTCTTTTCCTTCCCTCTTCTTCTTTCGCCTCGTGTATCCCCTCCTCCCTTCCATCCATCCAACTAACTAACTCAACCAGGAAATCAGCAGCTGGAACGACGGCAGCAAGGAAGGCTCCGGCCGCGCCCCTTAATCTCGACCTCGACCTCGACCTACCACTACTGCTACTGCTACTGCGACCGCCGCTCCTGCTGCTGCTCCTGCTTCCGGCGACGCAAGAGGCTTCAGAGAGTATGGCAATCATCACGTCATGAACGCTGCTGACTCGGCCGCCGGCGCGTGATCACGACGAGGATGGGAGTAGATGCATTAGACAATTAGGTCATTAGACAATTAGACATTAGAGAGGGACAGTAATGGTGAGGATAGGGGAGAAGGTGAATTTTGGAAGCTGGGGGAGGAGGGCGTATCTATCCATCTATCTATCTTTTATATCTTTTAATATTTTTTGGGAGGAAGGGGGGGCTGGAAGATACCTAGTTAGAAGCCAAAGAGAGGCCTTCATCCATCTCTCTCCCACTTTCCCACTTTCCGTATGACTTCCGTCCCTAGGGCAGGGCAGGGCAGGGCAGGGCAGTGTACAAGATAATGAATAAATGAATTGAATGAAGGCCGCACAGCTACTTCCTGACCTTCCGACTAATACGCTCGACCAACCCGCTCAACTCCCCCTTCCCATTCCCATTTCCGCCCTCCGCTTTACCCTCCCCCTCCCCCTCCCCCACTTTCCGCTTCTTATTCTTCTTCCGCTTCCCATCGCCACCAACCACGGCCCCCAGCTCCCCATCCCCATCCTCATCCCCATCTCCTCTCGCCCTCTTCTTCCGTCCCTCCTCCAAAAGCTTCTTCATCCCCTCCGTAGCCACGAACTTCGGATGGCTAGGATCAATGGCAAACTCGTGACTCCCCCACAACGCCCCAAACCTCTCATCCGCAACGTCCATCTCAAAGCCCTCCTGCAGACCCCCCCTCTTACTCTCGCCCAGATCCCCCTCGCCCCTCTTCCCCTTCTTGCCCCCTTTCTTGCGCTTCCGCTTCTCCGCCCGCACAATCTCGTTGATGTCGAAGTGCTCGAGGTCAGCGCCGGCGGCCTCCTCGTGCGCGTCGTCTTGCAGCAGGAGCTCCAGACCCGCGCGCTCGGACTCCTTGGCCGCGGCCTCGGCGGCTTTGGCTTCGCGCTTCTTGAGGCGCTCCTCTTTGCGGATGGATTTGCTGGCCTTCTCCTTCACGCCTTCTTCGGTCGCGAAGAACGGGTCGTCGAAGCCGAGGTCTTCCTTTCCAGCTTCTCTGGTGTTCTCGCCATCAGCAGATGCATCGGGATCTCTGCCCTCGCGCTTCGCTTTGGCTCTCTCCTTTCGGCGGGCCTTGCGCTCTTTCTCCACGCGCTTGTAGCGTTCTGCGGTGGTCTCATCGATCGGAGGCTCATTTTCAAAGACACCTGTGGAGCCCTTTGCAGAGAGACCGGCGGTGAATGTTACTTCCATTTCGCCAACCGGACCCTTGGTCTTCTTAGTCGAGGGCGCCGGTTCGTCAGTGAGGCCGAGGGCAGCGCGCATTTTCTGGCGTGCGATTTCCTTTTTAGAGAGCTTTGGGCCATCGTCCTCCACTGCTACAGCATCCTCCTCGACATCCGACTCCTCGGAATCAGAACCGAGGTATGCGCGCAAATCATTGTCCAGATGGTCTTTTCGACTGCCGCCGAAGGCTTTGCTGATGGCGTCTTTCCGCGATGCTTCCTCGGGGTTGGTATCCCAGGTAAGCTTAGACTTGGAGTGCTGTAGGGCGTCAGTCACGAATTCGATGGGTCTGTATCCGGCTGGCACGCTCTCGCATTCGTCTCTAGGCTTGTCGTCGAACTCGGTGCCATCGGGGATGAATCGTAAATCGAAGATGTTTGCCGAGGAGAGGTATTCGGAACCATCTGTATTCTCGTAGACATTCTGCGCTGTCTCATTATCCGAGCAGATAACCACTGCGTAGTAGTATCGCAGTCGCTCTAATTGATACTGCCGCAACGCCGCGCTGTCGAATTCCTTGCCCTCGTCCGCCTTGAGCAGATCCCTTTTGATCTTCTCCTCCTCCTCGTCGCTATCATCCTCAGAGTCTTCGTCAGAAATCTCTTCGCCCTTCTTGCTAGCGAATATTTCCCTCGGCGGCCCCTCATGCTCCTCCCGCTCCATCCTCTCCTTGCCAAACTCGCTCGGATATATTGAGATCTTGAGAATCTTCCCCCCAGGTCGCACGAAGCTCGAAAACACAGCCATCAAGTCCGTCGACCGGATATGATCCCAATCCATATTGACAACCGCAATCCTGCTCGATACCTCCCCCATCTCGACGGCCGCAGCCTGCGCCTCAGCCTGCATGTCCGGGAACTCCTCCTCGACAATCTCCACACCACCCTCGTCATCCTCATCTTCCTCCTCCTCGTCCTCGTCTTCGGAAGACGAGAACCCGCCGCCTCTCGCCGGGTCGTATTTCTCTGCGCGCTTCAGCTCCCTCTCGACGACATCGTCGTCTTCAACCTCCACATCTGCTGCTTCCTTTCCCCCCTCCCTCCTCCTCCTCCTCCTCCTCCCCCGAATCTTCGGCAACGTACAATCGTTCCAGCGCCTTTTTCTTCCCGCTCACGCTTATCTTCCGCCCATACCGATCCACAGTCGCGGAATTCGAGAAATCCTCATCCTTCAGCATGCGCGAGAAACGGCTGTCGAGTTTCGTGTGCGTGTGCTTCTTCGACGGGAGACGGAAGCGCGGGTCCGTAGTGAAGCTCGAGAAGCGCGGGTCATTAATCTCGGAGCCTGCAGGCGCGGCGCCCTTGGGCGCTTTCTGTTTCGGCATTGTGTGGTGATGTGAGTGAAAGTGAGGATGGGGTGAGGGCCGAAATATTTTGGAATATAATTCTGCCGGCTGAAGAAGGCGGTGAGAAAAAATGTTCAGTGGAGCTCTCCTCGGTTGCGATACCCCCGCCCCTTTTCGATCGCCCTGGGTCAGACCGCTAAGTAAGGCCTTTATTATGTTTCCTAGAAATCACGCACTTGATGACAGCTATTCAGTCATCGATCCTAGAGTAAAATATAGCTAGAAGTGGAAGATTCGGGAAAGATACACTCTTGTTGTTACTGCGCTAAATACATTAAATACACGAACTACAACACCTCGTTAACGAAAAGCCCAGCCATACCCTGGCCAGTACCGATACACATACTCGTCAACAGAATCTTCTTCTTCTGCCTCCTCGCCTCACTCAACCCCGTCACGATTTGTCGAGCACCAGTCGCACCCAGCGGGTGACCCAGCGCAATAGCACCACCACGGATGTTCATCTTCTCGCGCGGGATCTTCAGAGTGTCTTTGCAGTATACAGCCATAGAAGCAAAGGCCTCGTTCAACTCGATGACATCGCAATCGTCGATCGTGATGTTGAACTTGGTAAGGAGCTTTGGGATGGCGATGGATGGGCCAATCCCCATGATGCGGGGAGCAAGACCGGAAACGGTCGCACCGACGAACTTGGCGAGGATGGGCTGGTTAAGCTCGATAGCACGGGAGCGCTTCATCATCAGGATAGCGGCAGCTTTTAGAACGTATCAGCATACAGACCAATTGTTGTAGAAAGGAGGAGCACGAACCTCCATCAGTGACTTGAGATGAGTTTCCGCCAGTAGACCGATCCCCGAAATCCGGGAACGCGGGTCTAATCTTGCTCAGACTCTCAAACGTAGTACCCCATCTCGGTCCTTCGTCCTTAGTCAAAGTAACCCGCTTAACTTCTCCTGTCTTGGGATCCTTAACCTCCGCCACAATAGGCACAATCTCGTCATCAAACCATCCAGCCCTTTGTGCAGCCTCTGCGCGCTGATAACTCTCAGCCGCGTATCGGTCCTGTGACTCGCGGCTGACATTAAAGTCCTTGCCGACGTTCTCGGATGTTTGTCCCATGGGCTGCATGCAGTCTGCGGCTTCCTGATTGGCGACAACTTCGGCGTGGAAGGGCTTCTCCAGTCTATCACCACCAACAGACATCATCTCGGCGCCCATAGCCAAGCCGATGTCGATGCTTCCAGAGGCAATCTGTGCCGCAATGTCTTGAGTAGCCTTCAGGCCGGAAGAGCAGAAGCGGTTAACGGTCGAGGCGGCAGTGGTGTTTGGGAAGCCGGCTGCGAGAGCTGCGGCACGAACTTTGTATGCGGCTGTCCCGTCAGAAACCTGTATGCCATCAGTATCTATTAGATATAGCTAGCATATTCTCGGATGTACATTGCCACAGCAGATATCCTCCACCAGCTGAGGATCAATTCTGGACTTCTGAATGACCTGCTTCAGCAGAGCGTAGACCAGATAATCTAGTTCGGTATCCTTGAATCCACCTTTGAAGCCCTTTGCTAGCGGAGTCCGGATAGCCAGGGTGATGACTACATCGTCGGCGTTCTTGGATGTGCTGTTGATGATCAGTAAGTATGTGTTTTGGAAGCGTCAAAGGAATGCTTACATTGAAGACAATCCTGACGTGCCAGGTGTCAAGTGCTTGAGGATGGAGCTGAGTCTTTCGCCTGCCATTTTGAAGGTTCTGTACGGAAGCTGAAGAGAGAGGGAAAGAGAGAGGGAGAGAGAGAGTTGTGTTTGGAGGGTGGCATGTGGTCAGAACGGCGGGCGGAATATAAGCTCATCGTGGGGAAGCCGAGGCACACAGCTAGCTACCTGCTCGGCCGAGACACAACCGAGTAGTCACGTGTGTGATGGAAATTCCGGTGATCTTCGAGCTTAGGAGGCTCTGGCATTTGGGAAAGCTGCAGCCATGTGAACCTGGGTTAAAGATTGTCATCTTTTTTGTCTCGGTGTTGGTGATGCGAGTATATTCGTGTTCGCGATGTTGATATGCGATGTTGATACACCTCGGCAAAAGAGAGGGGTATCCACTTATACACATCTCAGGTCTTCCCCACCAGAATCGAAGGATCGAGGGTCGATGGGATTGTAGGATGAAACATCTAACTCTTGCGTTTAAAGATCCTCCTTCGTGTTTGTTCTTCTTTCTACTGGTGCCATGCGACGGGTCAACAGGTGAATGAATCGTAGACTCCAGCTAGCTAACTTGAATATCAACCCCTTCCATAAGTTCCCAGTATCCATCCATCACCGCCTCACTTCAAACCCACTCTCCCCATCCACGAGATCAACATCGCTCTTCTCCAACCGAGCCACACGTGCATGCGTCGGGCCCTGATCGATATCCTTCATGAAGCGCTGCAGCACCTCGTCCTCGCCTTGGGCTTCGCCTTCGACCTGTACGGAGATCATGTCGACAATCAGCAACCGCCTTTTCAGTCTAGACTCATCCAGTCCCCCCCCCCCCCCAAAAAAGAAGAAAAAGAAAAAAAGAACCCCTTCTCTTCCTTCCCGCCTGGCTGAGATCAACCCGACAAGCAGGATGCATTACAGTACATTACATTACCTACCTTGCTATCGACAGTATTCCTCACCCACCCAGTCAAGCCGTAAGAAGATGCTTTCTTCTGCGTAAAGTATCTTTGAAACCTGTCAGTCAAAGGGATATATAGAACATTGCACAGTTGCTGGCGAGATAGGGGAAAGCGTACCGGAATCCAACCCCTAGATATCCACATCAGTTAGGTAGTTTGCTCGACTTACTTGCCGGGCGGGCGGCCGGGCATTGCTGCCTTGCTTACCTTGGACTTCCCCGTGGACGCGGAAGGAGACCTAGCAATATCAATTAGATGATGATCACTCTTCAGCTTTGGAAAAGAAGACTTGCTCGTTTCGCCATTCTCATGTATTCCGAGAGGGCTGTGGCTTTGTGGTTGTATGCATTTTTAAGGTCCAGATTCGAGATATCATCATTGCTCGCTTATGATATAGTACACGTGACATATTATTACTTACTTGATGAATTTCTACCTATTCATATCGCTTGCAACGCTGGTGCTATTTCTTACTCAGCCTCAACGGACCCTGCTTCTCAAGCAACTCTTAATCTTTTCACTAATCTTCCCCGGCCCATTTTCATCTGCGGATAAGCCCCAGTCATAAGCATCATAATCCAAGTCCGAGGTATACATTTGTATAGAGGATTGCAGTGATACCCGCTAACATACTTAAACGCTCGGGAACTATGAACTCATCCCACGAGTCAATCAGTTTGACGACGAAGATCAACGCCAGGAAGTATTGAGTAGCGACAAGGCCAAGCTTTCCATATCCGGCCGTCACCATGCCTTCCGGGCTATATCGTCTGACCGATCCCAAAAACACCAAGCTGACAGTGACTATCATCGACGCCGCTCGTCCGTTGAATTTCAGAAAGCGAGATACTAACCATGCGACGTGTGGAATGCCGGCCAGCAAAAGAGTGAGAACGAAGATGCACATAGCTCGCTCTGCCCACGTTGCGTCTTGTTCAAACCTGAACCCAAATCCCTTCGAGACAGGAACGGGGTTGAGAGTCTGAGAAGCCCAGGCAGCTTGAGAGCTAGGATAACATCGGCTCGAGTCATAGTCGCTTGTGATAAAGTTGGAGGTAGAATTGGTAATTGTCCCGTTGGATGGGGAACTCGTTTTGAACAACAGTCTTGATCCGATGCGCGTCATTGCGGCGACGTTGGGCATGATATACACACCCTGAAGACTTAGACAGTCGTTACCGAAAGAAGATGTTCTGCTGGACCTGGCTCGATGTTTAATGCCGCTACCACTACAAGGAGTCAGGTACAGCACTCACTTAGGGGGGCTCTCTTGTCAGAAAAGAATGCTGCCGCGGACAGATTCGCCTAGTGGTGGTGGTAATGGTCCGAACAAGTGATGATGTGATCAATGTGTGAATACCCAGTGAAGGGATGAGGAGATCCAATGCCGACTGCCGATGGATGTGCTGGTGTAAAATATGAAGATGATGTTGAGACATTGGGACAGAGACAGATGTCTTGGATAGGTCTGGCTCGTTGAGGACTTAGGAGGCAGTCGTGAGCTGGTGATCTTCGTCTCGACATCTTGCGTGCGTAGATCAGGAAGGTGCGAAGGCGAAGGCATTTGCACCTGACGTTCTGTTTACTATTTGCAGAGCGCACTTCTTCAACCACTGGACTTGGGAAACGTGACCCAGCATCTTTACTTAATACTAAGTCATAAGACTCGGTCCCGTATTAGATATTAAACACTCAGGCTTTAATTTGGGCCCCACCCCACATCTCGATAGTCCCGGATTCTTCATCTCCATCTTCATCCACATTTTCATCACATCCACATGCAGGTTCTATCGTCGTCGTCGCTATTTGTATCTTGTCAGATATAGGTGTGTTTAATAATATATGTCGATGTGAGTGCTACTTGCCATCTTTGATGTTTATACCCGCTCCCATTCCCGTTCCCATTCCCGTTCCCATTCCCATTCCCATTTCCATTTCGGTCCGTTTCGGAGCTCAGATGCTGGCTAGGTATGCCAGCCCAAATCGCCTGTCACCTGGTTTGCTATGAAACGGGATCCTTCTATATAGAGCTCAGGGGTGTCACGTGTGCGTCCCAACGGCGGAGATTTAACTGAAACTGCCCGCGCACACGTTTGACATTCGCCCTTCGTGCACGCTGATTGGCTCGCTACCGGGCCCCTGTTCGTCCGACCTATTTACGGAGTATGATTTTTCCTAGCGCGGCCCTGTCATCTGGTAAGGTAGGTACTCCTCGACCACGCGCTTGACTCATGCGGATCCTATTCTTTCGTCCCATCACTCCTCCCGTCTGACCCGTCTGGGCCCGAGCTGGACATACCTATGCGATAGATGGACCTCCTTTGGCTGGCCCGATTTTCTTCCTCTCTTTATTCTGTTTCTTGCTAACCAACCGCTCACCTTTCTTTCCCCCATTACTCTATCTGCGTCTCCTTCTATCCTGTGTGACTATCACTTTCCTTTGTGTCGATTCCTTTCTGTTCTTTCATCATGCTTTTGAAAGCAATTTTGCTGTTGGGCGGGGTCTCGTGGGTTTCTGGGAAGGTGCAGTATATGGTTCGTCTCGGATACTTCTCGTGAGATTCCCGGCTGACCTTCTTAGGGAATGAGCATGGCAGGATTCGATTCTGGCTGCAAGATTGACGTAGGTTTCGCCTCCTCTCCTCTATCCAGTCCTCTCTAACAACCCCAGGGAACATGCTCAACCGACAGCGCCCAATCTCCCATGAGCTCGGATGCTCTAGATCAAATGCAGCACTTCGTGAACGACGACCAGATGAATGTCTTCCGCCTTCGTACGTCCCCGTCCCAGATCCTAGATGATCCTCTAACACAATAATAGCCGTCTCGTGGCAGTTCCTGGTGAACAATGAGATCGGACGCAAGCTAGACAGCCCAAATTTTGTTCAATACGACGAATTGATGCAAGCCTGTCTTGGATTGGGCACCCACTGCGTGATAGATATCCATAACTTCGCCCGCTTCAACGGCGCTATCATTGGCCAAGGCGGTCCTACAGATTCCCAGTTCGCTGATCTCTGGGTCGAGTTGGCCACCAAGTACAAAGATAACAGCAAAGTCATCTTCGGACTCATGAACGAGCCTCACGGTCTAGATGTGCCCACGTGGGCGAAGACGGTGCAAACAGTAGTTACGGCTATCAGAACTGCTGGCGCTACATCTCAGATGATCTTGCTTCCGGGATCGGATTTTGCGAGTGCCGGACAGTTTGTGCGTAGCGGGAGCGCAGACGCTTTGATCAAAGTGACGAATCCCGACAGGAGTACCGATGGGTTGATTTTTGATCTGCATGGACATCTGGATCAGGATAATTCCGGGGCCCTCGCTGAGTGTACCACTGATAATGTGGCTGATGGTTTTGCGATCGCGGCCGACTTTCTGAGGCAGAATAGACGGCAGGCGCTGGTTAGCGAGACTAGAGCTGGAAGTGCCGAGTCCGTAAGTACCCTAAATGATCCGTTTTCATTGCATGTTTAGTGCATTTGGAAGGAAACCGCTGACCCGAGCAGTGCGTCACCAATCTTTGCGCGCAAAACAAATTCCTCAACGAAAATTCCGACGTCTTCTTAGGCTACATCGCATGGGCCGCAGGAGCTCTCCCCGCGTCCGACATTTCGAGTCTCACGCCTCTAAAGCCGAACGGGAAATACGTAGATAACGAACTCGTGTCCCAGTGCGTAGTCGCACCCTGGGGGCATGCGGGAATGGCAACACCCCGCTCACCCAACGCTGCCGTAGCACCACCAAGCACTCCCAGCTCTCCAAAATCTACGGAGCCAACTTCCACGAATGCTGCCGTAGCAATCGTCGCAGACACATACTCCCCATCAGCCATAAACTCTACGGAAACACCAGAAGATGCGTTAATAGGCACGTTCGTACGCACGTACTCGAAAGTCGAGACAACAGCAATCCCGACCAGCATCTTGGCCGCCGGCGGGACTGCACCGCCGTTGATGTCTAGCCAGACGGGCACGAGAACGAGCCCTCCATCCACGCCACCCGTGGCTACTGGCGGAGCCGCGACGAGGAAATGCGCGGGGTGGTTGTTTGTGGGGAGTCTGTTGGTTGCGTTGACCATTGGTTGAACATTACCTTGCACCCACCCCCTTTCTCGCATCTGGAATCTAGAATCTGGAATCTGGAATCTGGAATCTGAATTCTTGCATCTTTTCACTACGTGGGTAATCTTGCATCGGGCTATGCGTTGGCCCTTGAGAATCTTCTATCTTTCTTCTTGGCACTGGTCGTGCTGCGTTGAATAATTTTGTCACGAAGATGAGGAACTTATGGAATATAGAAACCTAGAGTTATAGAACCTAGAGTTATAGAACCTAAAACTTAGAATCATAGAACTGTAGAAAATATAAGAGTAGTCTAATGAATTCATGGAATCGCTGGCTTCCTCGTCTCGTCCCGTCTCTCTACTTTCTTTCTCTTTGTGGCCCCGTAGTCTCTTTTCAAGTGTTTGTTCAGCCAGCCAGCCAGCCTATGTTTCATATTTTCATGACAAGGTGATTTTTTTTTAATTGGCGAGGCAAGCGGCAGCGCAGTTGGGTATTTGTATTTCGGAGATACAGATAGCAGTGACAGATAGATAGATAGATACTTCAGACAAAGGCCATGGAGCGCGCGCGTCCGTCGCAGCGACTGTAGCAGGATATCGCGGCCAGTACGTAAGTGAGTGAGTGGGTTATGTCCCCATGTCGCAGATCATCCCAAAGATAGAATCATGGTTGGATCTGGGCGTAGCCAGCCATACAAGTAGTACGTAGTACGTACGTACGTACGTACGTACGGGGTGGAGTATCGGTACAGAGCGTTGCAACTTGCAACTCCTCCCCCTTTTTTCCCCATTTTTATTTAAATGAAAAGAGATCGACGCATGGGGAGTCGGGATATACTTACGTTTGTACTACGTACTACGTACGTACGGACTGGCCGGCGGCTGCACGGGCATAGTAAGGTTAAAATTAGGTTAAGGTAGAGAGAGGTACCGGTACTTAGTGGTAGTAGAGGTGAAGGTAAAGGTAAGGTTAATAAAGTGATCCGCTTGCCTGGTTAAGCAGGTAGGTCGGTCGGTCGGTACTTGTCCGAGAAAATCAGTGGGGGTCGACGGCGAATCCACGGACGGATTTCTAGGGATAGATAGGCACGGAAATTGGTGTTGTATCCGAGCGGCGGCTGCGGCTGAGCTCTGAAATGGATGAGCTTGCTTGACTCGTGGGTGAGGCAGAAGCGGAAGCGGAAGCGGAAGCGGAAGCGGGAAGCGGAAAGCAGAGATGATGGAGCGAGTGGACGTTGGTGAAGCCCAAGTGGCTTGCTTAGGTGCAAGAAGCGTCGGCGACAACTGAGACTACCAAGCCAGTGAGTGCAGTGCGCCAAGATCTGCAGCTTGTCGCCCTGTTTGATCCTATTGTGCTTACGTGATTCCGAATTTAGCCTCAGGTGGATGTTGGATGTGTCCTCGTGACGATCAAGTGGGGGGGAGGGAGGAGGGCGAGGCTCCGGATGTTTCAGGCACTGGGTAAGGTCAGGTGAGGTTAAGTCAGGTCAGGTGATCGTAGCGCTTTGAGAGACCACCCCTCGTGACCATGGCCTGGGCCTCGCGCTCGGTCTCGGGCTCGGCCTCGAAGTCCTTCAGCATTTGAGGTTTGAGGTTTGTGGCTCGGGGTTCGAGGGCCTCGTTCCTCTTCTGGGCACACCACGAAACGATCTCCGCTTCAACTTGTACCTACAACGTTTGACCGAAGGCAGTGCACACAGCTGGCGACTGGTTCTCACTTCTCCCCAACTCGTCTTGGTCCAGCGTCTCGCGGATCATCATCTATTTCTCCGGTTTAGAGTTGGATCGTTGGCGGCCGCTCGGGTAAACAAAGCTTGGCTGTGGTCCAAGAGGCAGTTTCACTCATGCCCTCAACTTCATCTCAACTTCGACTTCAACTTCAACTTCACCTCACACAAACTCGATCCACCTCTCCTCTTCTTACCCGCTCAACTCGGTCCTGGCCTCGTATCACCATCGCCCCTCGTGTCTGGGAGCCGAAGCACGGCACAGCACAGCACATTACGGTATTGTGCAGCATAGTACAGCCGTGTCATGCTATGCCGTGCCGTGTCCAACGACATCGTCGTCTGGTAGCGTAGGTTTGAGCCGCCGCGTATGATTTGCATACGCCTGTGAACCTCCTCTCTCACATTGCCTCCCCATCTTACCACTTACCTCTCCTAATCTTGCGCCTCTTTGCTAGTCTAGATACCCTCGAAGCTCTTCCGGGGCTTGGTCCTCTTTGTTTTCTTCCACTTGCATCCTCTAATCATATTCCTATACTACTGTTTGTCGTCGTTGGATGTGGTGAACGGAACGTTGCTAGGCGCCTTCCCCCAAGTTCTACTCAACTCTCGGGCCGGCCCCTTCTCTAACTTACCTCCTCCTCTACTTTATTCCCTTTCGTGTTTGTTGCGCTTGCTTGCTTTTCAGCGTGGGATTTGCCTTCACGGCAGCAGCAGCGACGACACACTCCTCTACTCAATACTTTACCGCCGGCCGGAAGACAAATTTCTAATCTATACTTTGACGGTCCGAATCGCAACTATGCTGTCTCTAGTATCACTTCTGCTAGCCGGGCAGGCCACAGCTGGCATCCTGAACATCGCACCCGGACTCGTCGGACGAAGGGAGGTGCCCGAGGAAGCCATGCGTCGCTATGTCGACACCATCATGTCCAGCCCACCATTGTCCGAGTCCGCCGCCGTCACTCGTCGGCAAGCCGCGGCAACAGCGGCCGGGATGAACGTGACCGCTTGGAACATCGAGACACAAGCACTCTGTGCAGATCAGCTCGAGTCCTTGAAGGGTGTAGCCACCAACCCATCCGGTATGGCCGTCTGCTACAACCTGCCTGCGCTCGACAACTCCACGGGCGTCTTCATGGCCGACCTGCGACTGTACATGGTTGCACAACCGACGGGGGACTTCACCGACATCGCGAGCACGAATGTGCAGGTGGGTCTGTCATATACTGGGGCGACGGTATCTGCGCTTAATCCTTCAACGATGACGAGGAGGGACGAAGACGCGAATAATTTAATTAGCGCGCCGAGGGATGCGGTGATTGGCAAGCGGATGATGATCCCAGTGTTGGTACAGCAATACGCTTTTGTCGGGCAGGTTAACAAGGAACTTCTGATTGCCAATAACGGAACGTAAGTCGCAACTGTCCCCCGGCGGTCCCAGATCATTAGTACTGACCCATGGAACGTAGCGTGAACCTCCAAAAGGTCCTCGTCCCGACCGTCTCGCTCACCGGCAAAACTGCAGCAGGCGCCACGGTCAATACGTCCCTCTCTTCCTCGGAGGCGACCTTCGTCAACGGCGTCTTCTCCAAGGTCCTCTCGCCCACTACATCGAAAGTCATCCCGCCCATCCAGACGCTCGTCGTCGCTTCCAATCAGCCCTTCGTGGTCCCCGGTCTCACGATCCTGATTTTCCCCATCGGGCTGATAGTCACGGGCACGTGGACCGTGCTCTTCGTCGGAACCATCGCGTACGGCACCGCGGGACGCATACAGTGGCGGGACCAGTTCCGCCGGAGGTCGGTGTTGGCTAGTAAGGCGGATGTGGCGAGGTTTTAGATGTAAAGGCGTGGGTGGGGAGAAGGTATCTGGGCGCCCGCGAAAATGAGGAACGACGACGAATGAAATTTATGACGAGAAGGAGAGTTAAAGTAAGAATGAGGATGAGAATGGGGAACGAGAAGAGTAGAGGCGAGCTTCTACTTTCGTATACTCTATAGGACTAGTTTTATTTTTCTATCTATTAAACATGTATTTATTTGCTTTTTTTTTTCGCGTTTGGTTGCGACGACTGGTGGCTTTTTTTTTTTTTCTTTTTCTTCTTCTTCTTCTCTATTCATCCCTAATGCGGTAATATAGATAGAATAGATGGATAGATGGAGTGAGTGTATGCGGCAGGTTAATCCAAATAGAATAGAGCGCGTACTATACCACAAATCCCTACGGAGTACGGTTCTACCTATCATCTCATCTCATCTCACCTCATCTTACAGCTCGCTCGCTTCGCTTCGCTACCTTAGCTGCCTGCCTGCCCTTCCCTACAGAGTCAGTAAGGCGGCTGGGGCCACAGGAAAGTGGTATCTTGCGAGAGAGAGGGTGCTGCATGGATAGATGGATGGATAGATAAATGGATAGGATGGATGGATGGAGCCAAGCAAGCAAAGGGTTTTTCTTTGCTGATGATGATGATGATGATGATGATGATGATGATGATGAACAAGGCAAGGGAGGGGATGGATTGTTGGGTTTTTTGGAATGTTGATTTGTCGATGGAATTTTTAGGGGGTGGGGTAGAGGGGGGGTTTGGGAGGG